GGGGGGGGGGGGGGGGGAGTGTGAATGTCAGCAAACAGAAGGCAGCAGGCAGGTTTTGGGTGACGCTCACATTAACAGGAAGCTCAGACATTGTTAACCAGATGTGGCTCTGCTCACCGTGAAATAGTTTAGTTCTCCCTAAATGGCTCAAGAATACGCCGGTATATACAGTACAAGTATATACAGTAGAACCTCTACATACGAATTCAATTCGTTCCGGGACCGACTTCGTATGTTAAGATATTCGTATGTTGGTTCAAATATTCACATCAGGATACACTGTCATTCCTATAATTCGTTCCAAAAACCTAAAGTAAATACTGCAGATGATTATGCATAGCAATAAAACAAATGCATTATATAAGAGAGAAATAAAAAGAAATAAATGCTAAAGAAATAATCCATACAAAGGGTTTTTTATTGGCACTTCACCTTTGAGACTAACGAACGGAGGTAGAGGTGGAGACTTTAACTTTCACTACGTGAACTTTAAACTAACTTAGCATATTTATTTGTATTTCATTTTTATATCTTATATACATATATTTCTATGGCTTCGATGTCGAGTTGAATATTTGATCAAATTTCACTTCGTATGTTGGAAAACTGGTATGTTTTGGCGATCGTAAGCAGAGGTTCTACTGTATGTTTTTTCTCTTGGAGCCACAAAGGGTCACCTGTCGGTTCCCACAGACAGTGTGTCCAGCTGCCCTCTGCTCCGTTTACACACCATCAGCCCGTTTAAGAGCCCACCAAAGCCTCGGACACCCGCTGGCTGTTTGCTCTTCAGCTCAGCTCGGTTACAATAGACGTTTAAGCATTCAGTAATGGGACCGGGTACAAACAGTAGCCAAACACTAAACAAAAAAGAAAAGAAGATGGACAAAACTGCTGTTGTAAGTTGAGGCAATAATTGTAGTGTTTGATTTAAACAGATGTCTCAAGGCCTGTTGCTTTGGAGTTTGTGCTTATTCTAAGCGCCATGCACTATTTGAAGTCATTCTAGACTAATTTAATGACCAAAAATGACCACTCATCCCCAATGTTTTGTCTTTTAGTGCTGGGCAACATTCACTGATGGTCTCTGGCGTTTAAATGGATGCTGGATGCTCCGGCCTGTTAAATGCCGCACGCAGAAGCAGAAAAGTCCATCTGCACATTGGTCAACTGGACAGGGTTTGACTCCAGGGCGACCTCTGACCTGAGGGGTTGTAAGTTAAGCGCCTGCATTTAGCACTTGTCTCTCGGGCGCTGGTCAGTGGACAAAGAGCAAAGGTCAGCCGTGTGTCCACATGAGCCTCAGGACTACCAAAGGCAAATGTTTCTGGGCGCATTGAGCATAAACAAAGAGGCAGCAGCTCTGCTCTCCAGCTATCGGCCGGGCCTATGGAGGGGTTTCAAAACAGTCATTCCTCAGCAAATCAGATTTTTTTTTTGTTTACATTGAACATTTTTTTCAGTGTAAACAAATTTAAATGTATTCTCAGGAAATGTCGACACTAAAAGCTGCAGATAAAAAAAACTTTGTCTGGCAGGTGAAGCTCCCACAAACCTGTCTGAGGCCCACAACTCCTCACAGAGACGAAAAAACGTTTCAGACATTTACTGATGTATCTGCGATTTAAAAAGAGGGAACTAGTCCGTGTTTAAGATCTTTTGGGCTTATTTGATGATGTTGATCCACAAAAATGGGTAAAGAGCCCCTTACACTTTCCCCCCATCAGTAAACCAATAGAATTAACGCCTACTTACAGGATAAAAGGTAATTTTTTCCTTGCTTGAATGCAAAAAATACCCAAAGCCAGAAATGTCCTACATGTTCTTCACCACCAAGAAAAAAAAATCTGTCACGCCATCTTCTTTCGGAGTTCCAGATAAGTTGGAAATCTGAAATGTTTGGCTGTAAGCGAGTGGCCGGAGGAGTCTGACGGGGATTTCTCTGCTGGCACAGGTGGAAGCTACTCGCGTCTCTTTGGAACCACAAGCTTTGTGTGACAAAAGTGAGAAAAATGATCAGTTTAAAATTATTTATTAAATAAATAGATCAAATAAATAACATACTATGTATTCATGACAAGAACCAAAATAACTTACAAAAGAGGTATAAGAGGATAATTGGCACACTCATCACAGTAGACAATCAGTTCATTTTCTTTGGCTGTATGACATGCGGATTTTACAGAAGATCTCATAAAAAACAAAACAAAAAAATGATTGAAACCAGAATATATTTGTGAGGAATGACTGAAAGAGGATGGCCAGCCACGACACGCTCCTCAGCCCAATCCGGTGATGGGAGGAAGTTTAACTGCCTGACACTGTTGAGTAAGAGAGCTGAGTCCTCTGAAGTCTTTGATAATTGAAAAGACAGGACAGGCTGGGTCCTCTTTAGGGGGAGAAAAGACGGCATGTCGGCTGAAAACTGGGAAAAAGAAAGTGCCCTTGGCTGTTTTCAGATGATTGCAGTCTGGAGAATTGGCCGCACCGCTTTCGTTCCAAATGCCTTCCTCAACCTATTACATGAAATAAGAAATCCCTTAATCCCTTCCATTTCCCTCTCTGGCAAAACCCAATTAGTTCCAGGCGGGCCGGCGGGGGGGAATTATTAACACGAGGGGACGGAGGGGACGAGGTACATCCAGGTTTTTACACTTCCATGCAGAACACAAACGAATCTTTACCTGCAAACCATAACTCTACACTGATC